GATGGAGCTGCTTGGGCCGGTGAGTACACATCCTAACTCTCCCGACCGCCCGGGAGAGACATACTTTTTACCGGAAAGGTTTAATCTGCTCAATCTTTTCTGACATCGGGAGCCGCGGCCTGACCGTCAGTCAGAAAAGAAAAATTGGATTAGTGTGATCCTAGTTCATTTTATTACTTTATTGCTGTGCTGTATGTGTATAGGCCAATGTAGTTGGATGTGTATGTGCGTTATAATTAATCGAAGTTAATCGATTAATCGATTTTAAAAAATTCGATTAATCGAACAGGAAATTTGTAAGCATTACCAGCCCTAAAATATTATATAAGGGGCAACAAGGCCCACACCAGTTTGGCTCGTAAATTGTGTGCTGAGACGAATCTAACGAAGGTCACTGCGGTGCGTGACTCCAGGGGCATCTTGCACCATCATCCTCAGAAATTGGCGGACACATTCAGGGAATTCTATGAAAATTTATACAAGCTCCCTGACTCTGCCTTTGGTGGTGGAGGTGCCACTCTGGAGTCGCGCATACAGGATTACCTAAGCTCATACCAGAAGGGTCATTGCCTCTCTCCCTACAGGCAAATCGCCGGGACCTGACGGCTTTACATATATGTACTACAAGACTTACTTTTAATTATTTTCCCCATACTTAACGAGACTGTACATTAAGTTCCTAGAGGGCCGGCCCATCCCACCTTCCTTTCTACATCCTATATAATTGTGATTCCAAAACCTGGAAAAGATGATACCATATGTGCTAATTACCGGCCTATAGCGCTTCTACATTTACAAAAATCCTGGCAAATAGAAATTCTGCTCTTCTCCCCAACATAGTTCACATGGACCAGGTTGGCTATGTTCAGAACAGACAGGCAGGGGATAACACTCGTAGAAATCAGTTGATGGCCTGAAATCTTCAATATTTTGAAAGAGATAAAAGAGGGACAGGTTGAAGGTTCTTTTTCTACCCCTCCTTTTACTAATTTTAGGCTATTGTACCAAAGAAGGAGCCAAACACATACCGGCTAATACACCATCTCTCTTTCCCTAAGCGGTCTTCTTTAAATGATGAGATTGATGATCAGCTGGCATCTGTTACTTATACGTCCTATGATGATGCCCTGGAGAGACTGCACCCTTTAGGCCGGAGTGCTCTTCTTGCGAAGGCGCATAGTAAATCTGCTTTTTGACTGTCACCAATTTCTCCGTTAGCTTATAATTCACTTGGCTTTTAATTTGATGGTTTCTATTTTAATGATACGTTCTTGCCCATGGGTGGTTCTGTATCTTATTATTTTGAGGATGTTTTTTTTTCCTTTTTTGAATGTGTTATTATTTTTATTTCTGGACACAGGTCCATTGTTCATTATCTAGATGTTTTTTTTATTAATGCCTTTTATTAATGCCTTTATTAATCCTTAAGGCTTAAAAGCCTTAAGGATTCCTGTTTGTTCAGATCTTTTATCATTAGTTTGTTTTATTAGTGCTCAATTTGGTATACCCCTGGCTACAGAAAAGACTGTTTCTCCCACTAAGAGTTTGGAATTTTTGGGTATATCTATTGATTCGGAAAGAATGGAATTTAGACTTCCTCCAGAAAAAAATTACTGACACCATTTGTTTGTTGTTGCAAAAAAAGAAAGTTATTTTAAAAGATTTGCAATCTTTTCTGGGTACTGGGCATTTGCTACCCGTAGTATGGCATTTGATACCCGTAGTCCCATTAGGCATTGCAAGTCTCTGACAGCCACAGGCATGGCCTGCTGAGGCAGATGCATTATGTATTTGTAGTTTCCCCACAGCTGGAGGGTCACAGCTTGGCTACCCCTGATTTAATGTATTGGTAAACCAATAAAAAATGCCGTGGCCATTTCTTGCCATAACAAGAGTGTTAGTGTTTTATTTAATATTTCAAAGTTTGGTTTGTGTTTATTTGTATCTAGAATGTCGGTGCTCCATGTCGGGGGGATGAACGAGCCCTAGGTGAGCCCCCCACCATGGAACTGCAGCGACTAGTATGTGTTCCCTTCCCCCATCTTTTCCTGCTTTTCCCGCTCTTTTCTGCTTTCTCCCTGACAGGTTATTGGTCCACTACAGTATCCAGGCAGACTTACCGTTTTAGGCGGGAAGATTCTCTTTCTTCGGAGACATCTGATTGGCTGAAGATTCCTATTTGAGGACTACAAATCTCAGCAGTACTTTATACAGAAATGCTATTGTTATATAAAGTATTGCTGAGATGTGTAGTCCTCTATAGCCTGTGCCATTCTGCATTGCTGTAAATATTAGGGTTGCACCGATATATATCGGCCGCCAAAGGATATCAGCCGGAAATGGCACTTTTGGCTAAATACCGAAAGTGCCATTTTTCTGCTGATACAGCGGCGCATCCCTGCTTTCTTTCCTCCCAGCTGGGCGCTGCTCTGTGTCCCCCGCGGGGAGGAGAGAAAGTGACAGCCGGCCGAGCGCTGTGTTTGTGTTTTTTTTGGGGGAGGGGGGGGCCAAAAAAAAATCTTGCATCAGGGCCCTTTGTTCCTTATGTCCGCCACTGGTTGAGGTTATCTTTAATAAAGTTACGCTATATGTATTTATTTGAATCCTAATTATTTAATGCATTGAGTAAACCAATAAAAAAATGCCAAGGCCATTTTTTGCCATAACAAGTGTTAGTGTTTATTTCATATTTCAAAGTTTGCTTTGTGTTTATTTGTATTTAGAATGTCGCTTGCAGTTCCATGACTAGGAAAAAGCATGTATATCATAGCTGTGTGTGATGTAGAAAAAGTGTAAACTTAAAGTTCAACGTGTTCCCCCAGTTTTTCAAAAAGTTGGAAAGGCTTAAAATTTCTGTCAAGTTTTTAATCCTGTGTCAGGAAGGTTGGACTCATGGCCTTGCTCAAAGACCTTAATTTGTTACTGTTAACAAGTCAAAATACTTATATTGTAAGTTAAGCAAAATAGCATTATGACTTTATCATGCAGTTTATTGAATTATAGGTACATAGTTACAAGACACAGTACATACAAGTACAGTATAGTTAGGTAAATAGTGCAAGATGAAGGACATACTAATCATCTGAGTGATAATTATGTAATTTTAGATTGCCAAGGCTGGAGAACAGAAAACAGTACCAAATACAGGTCTTTCCCTCACTTATTAACAAAGCTTCATGCAAAGCAGCTTTCAGTAATAAAGTAGCTTTTGGAGCAACAGATTGGCACAGCTACTAAAGGTATTTATATTGCTTTAATATGCCCTCTTGCTGCGAGTTGATGACATAAGTGATGTTATGCCTCCTGTGGCATTAGCTACTTTGCTGTTGATGTTGCATGTTCCTGTTCCACAACTAGAAGCGCCTGAATTGCTTGACGTCAGGATGCTGCTATACCCAGCTGTAAAGATATACAGATAGTTAATTATAAAGACCTTGGTGGAAGTGACAGAAATTAAATTGGTAGGAAAGTCCACAGCAAATCACATTGCATTCCTACCTCCAGCTGCACTGCTCCTCGGGACACTGCAGGATCCTGCAACACAACTCAAACTAGGAATGGCAACCTTCCCGGCACTGCTATAGACAGCTGCAAAGGAAAAACAGACCACTTTTAAAGAAAAACATTTACAACAAACCTAAAATGGCATTTTAACTGGAAAAGGCATGTATACCTATAAATAAAAGAAATGTAAAAAATAAACCAATTCCTTTTTCAATTTTTCAATTAAGATCAGAAAACTGGTTTATACAGCTACCCCATACCCTTTTTAATAGTATACAATTTGGGTAGCTGGGCACTAGCCAGACCTTATGGGCTTAGGCTGCTGCAGACAATTATTTGAATATCTATATACTGTTGTACATTGTAACTTGTGTTTCAAAACTCTTTCAATGAAAACGTACTGAAACAGATAACTAAAGAGAACAGATCAAAGAAAATTGAACTAATCCCTGGATTATCATGTATACTCTGCTTATGGGATCATCCCACTGGAGATCCCTGATTTACCCCTCATAGTAATGGAATCTCATTCATCTTGAGACAGCAAGCCCTGCAGCTACTATTTCCTTAAAGATCAGCGCCACCCAGAGGCGGCTCTTTAATTAGGCAAATTAGGCGGTCGCCTTAGGCCTCGCGCTCCCGAGGGCCTCGCGGCCGCCTATTTAACCAAGGATCTGTGGGGTCTCAACAGGGCTCTGAGGGGTCTCACCAGGGCTCTCTGGTTGTCCCACCAGCCTGGTTAAACCCCACAGAGCCCTGGTGAGACCCCACAGAGCCCTGGTTAAAGTAGGGCTCTGTGGGTTCTCACTATTCCTGGTTAAACCCCACAGAGCCCTGGCAAGACCCTACAGAACCCTTGTGTTGCTGAGACCCTACAGAACCCTGGTTTAACCAGGGCTCTGTAGGGTCCCACCAGGGCTCTTTGGGGTCTCACCAGGGCTCTGTGGAGTCTAACCAGGCTGGTGAGATCCCTCGGAGCCCTGGTGAGACCCCACAGAGCCCTGGTTTAACCATGGCTCTGTGGGGTCTCACTAGGGTTTTGAGGGGTATAATACGGCTGGTGAGACCCTACAGAGCCCTGGCTTAACCAGGGCTCTTTGGGGTCTCACCAGGGCTCTGAGGGGTCTACCCAGGCTGCTGAGACCCCACAGAGCCCTGGTGAGACCCTACAGAGACCTGGGTTATTCAGGGCTCTGTGGGGTTTTTTTTTTTGGGGTCTCACCAGGGCTCTGAGGGGTCTAACCAGGCTGATGAGACCCCACAGAGCCCTGGTGAGACCCTACAGAGACCTGGGTTATTCAGGGCTCTGTGGGGTCTCATCAGGGCTCTTTGGGGGTCTTACTGGGGCTCTGTGGGGTCTCACCAGCCTGGTTAAACCCCACAGAACCCTGGTGAGACCCCACAGGCCTGAGCGGAGCCTCATGTTTAGGTTTCACATAAGGCCTCGCAAACTCTAGAGCCGCCTCTGGCGCCACCCAAAATCAAAAGAACTCACATAGCTTCAGCATCTTATGTCGGTATTATGTAGGACAGTCTGCATTCATAACTCCTCCCAAAGGAGCATGCGTAACTCCTCCCAAAGGAGCATGTATCAGGGCTGAGGTCTCTTGAGTTGATGATGTTTTCAGCACAGCACCCTGCTGGCTCCTTCCACCAACCATGATCTGTCTGCAGTTCTATACTGAAAACATCACAACGCCCTGCCTCAGTATTCAATTCAACATTCATCACTGGGTCTAAAATTATTTATGTAATGAAAATAGAAAGTTTTTTTTTATTTCTTTGGCAAGTTGATTTAGGGGGGAAAGGAGGGACAATAGAAGGCAAAATATAAACATATTAATCTTCAGGTTCAAGGATTTTAAAGTATATTTCTGTTTATAGCTAAACTTACACATTGTAACGTTGTTGTCAACTTCTCCATGAATCCTGCAATAAATAAACAGTGTTAGTGCCATAAATTGTATTAAACCCGCTAGCATAACAAATTCATATGAGTAATGGGTTTTTTGTAAAAGACAAGTTTTTGTAAATTACAGTCATTACTGCAATCAAAAGTTATATATCGTGAATGTCAAGTCTAAAGTACACTTTTATGTCATGATATGTGACATAGCAAGATTCATCAAGCAAAGGTTTAAGCACCACTTACACATGGAAGTTTTTTTCATTAAGATTTTAATATTTGATTCAAAATATGTTTGGGTAAAAAGCAAAATATTGGCAAGATTACTTTACCATTTTGACTGCTTCAATTAGAAGAATAGATAATAGTGAATGCAGGGCCATTTTAGAAATACAGCTCTTGAAAAGTATAAAAAGACCCCACCCGGCCATGTGTATACTGAAACAAAATGCTACCTATCCCTAGCTCACAGGATCATTCAAATCAGAGCAAAGACTATAATACCTAAAATCAAAGTATGAAGAAAAAACAAAGGCTTAAAATTTGGAGATGGTGATAGGGCACATTAGCGATTTTAACATTCAGAATACATAGTAAAATAACATCCATGGCTTCCTAATATTATGTATAGTGAATCTCATGGAGTCTTTTTAATGATGAAAGATCTGCTTTGAAGACCTTCGAAAATCAGACTCAAATTGTAAATACACTATTAAAGCTTGCTTAAATGGTGCAAGACAAGTTTGCTGTTAGATGTATGTTGCTTCTTTTCAAGGCCAGTATTACAGCACCTACCTGCATTCTTCTCCCTCCAGAAGTTTCCTGTAGGTGGCAATCTCAAGATCCAAGGCCATTTTCACATTAAGGAGTTCCTGGTAGTTGCGTAGCTGAACTGCAAGATCTTCTTTGGCTTTCTGTAGAGCAGCTTCCAGTTCAGATAATTTCGCTTTGGCATCTTTCAGAGCAACCTCCCCTCGCCCTTCAGCATCAGAAATTGCTGTCTCTAGTGCACAAATCTGTAGAGAAATGTATACTTTAAACAGTGGGCATCGGTCTAAATCTATAAGAAGAACGAATGTGTTATTTTTAAAATTCTCTAAACCTAGGGTAAGCTTCTTGACACTTTTAAAACTGATCACTCGTTGGATCCATGGACCCTTGGAGGCCACCGATGGAAAGCACAGCCAAGTCCTATAGCTACCTGCAAAATACTTTACAGATATGTAATGCAGCCTTGTCCTGGCCCCAGCCTATTTCTGGAATTTGCTGGAGCAGGTGCACACTGATGAGATCAGTGTCCTGCCCTCCTGTAAGCATGTTTACAGCGTTAGATTGAAGCAAAGCAATAAAGCAATGGATGTCTCAGAGTGATTCCTCTCTCTCTCTCTCATAGTGATTGCTGCTTTGAAGGAAATCGCTGTAGGCTGATTTCTGACATGAAGGCTGACATGAAATTTGTAATCATTACACAACCAAATTAAACTGCATTTTTATATCTGCTTGAAGTTCAGTTACAAAATTTTGCAGGATGTGAAAATTAAGTTATTATTAGCTAGCGGAATATCAAGTGTCCATCCAGGAGTTCTGGTCATTTCAGACCTGCAGGAACAGGAAACAAGAGGTGTACAGCAAGAAAGGCCTTACCTGTTTCTTTACACACTCAATTTCTCCATGCAGTCTTTTAATCATGCCGTTCAGTTCCTGAATCTCATTCCTATGATCGCGCAGATTGTCCCCATGTTGTCCCAATGTGTCTTTGAGCTGCTGGAACTGTGAAGAACGTGCAAACAGTTTGATATTTGAGGCAAGGTGTACTATTTATCATAAACTAAGCAATAATTAAAAGTTTATATTATAGACTATATCATGTCATAAAACCTGACAGAAAAAAGGTTCTACTACATTAATGTAGATTAAATTACGTAATGTAGAATTATAAACTTTTTTTTTGTTTTGGATAGAGTGGGAAAGGTTTACAGCATCTGTCAGGATTTAAACAGAACATGGACAGCAACATTGAGTACCTGTTTAGTCATTGGGATAGAAAGTGAGTGAAAATTGCCCAAATAGGAACACTGATAGTAACATCTGATCATGGTTAAATCTCTTCCACACATTTCAAAATGTAAAAAAAAAAACAGTTCTTGATTACTTTTATACTTGTTTTGTTTTAAATGTTTTGAAGGATGAAAGTGTGTGTAAAAAAATATAAAATTATTTATTTATTTGGTAAAGTCATTTGATCTATCGAGATACCAGTCGATGATCAATCCTACAAAAAAAATTATTATTGTAATCTGAGGGAACATATTCGTATTAAACATAAAGACAACTTTTTAAAAAGCCATCACTGTCCTCTGTAGCTGCTTGTACTGTGAAGTAATTCATCCTCAAAGATCACAACAAAGACTCTGAAGTCTGGTTTCAGGTTTTTTTCTTTTTTAGCAGCTTACAAGTAACTGCTGTGTGTTTACATCAGAGGGCTGGCAGGCTGCTTGGAGTCTGCTCTCCATAGAAAGTAAGGGGAAAGGAGCTGTGATTTCAGTGTCCCAGTTGTAAACTTTGAACAATCTTACAGGTGCATGAAGGCGAATGAAACAGGTACATTTCAGGTGAATGAAGGCTTGTTTTAAATTGATTTTACTGCGTGTAGAATATGTAAATCCTGAAATGTGCAAAGTCTGGGAACAAGTTTAAGTATACCTATGCAATGTCACAAAGTAACCAATTAGAAACAATATCAATGTATTTATTGCTGATCACTTACTTGTCTAGCATAGTTGGATTCAGCTTCTGCTCGGCTCCTGGCTGCAATCTCCTCATATTGAGCTTTAGCCTCAGCAACGACTCCATCCAAATCCAGGTCGCGGTTGTTGTCCATAGTCAAGATAACATTGGTGTTAGAAATTTGTGCCTGCATTTCAGCCACTTCCTGTAAGGAACAAAAAGCTGAGCTTAATGAGCTTACAACAGCTGAGCTTAATGCTCTGGATAACAAAGCACCTGGCCCCCAACAGTCCATCACTTCCTAAAATATGCATTAGTATAGGACAAGTAGTAGAGAAACCCTACCAACTTACTGCAATGGGCACAGATGGCAGATGCTTAAGCTACTAATTGCAAATGGCACACATAAGAGAGATGCTTGAACTGCTAATTGCTATTGGCTTACATAGCAGTGGCATTAGCACTCACAATGTGTGACAGGGCTCTTAAAGTGTATCTAAATTCAAAAACAACAAACTTACATATTGTAGCTTACCAGTTCTTAGATGGGGTGGCTGCATAAATTTCCATTTTTTCTGTTTGTTTTCCTTCATTTTTACCTGTTGATTCTGCCAACGACACACTTTTGCCCTAGGGTGACAACGCTCTCTCACCATGCTGTATCTATGGAGGAGCAGCCTTGTCACTCTAGCCTGCTCTGCTGACTAAAGCTACAAACACCTGCCTCTCTCTTCATCTACATTATACAAAGAGGCATTGCTTAGTAGTTCAAAGAACATAGCTGGGAAAGCATATAATGTTTTGGATATCTGTTCAGTACACAGGAAGTAACAAGAACACTAGAATTCTGGCAGGATCAACAGATATTTTGCTGTGCTTGCAGAAAATGTATGTAGTCTGAAAAAAGAAAACAAATGCAGCCACCACATCTAAGGAATGATAAACTGCAATATATTACATTTTTGTTCTAGGGTTTATATACACTTTAAGACTGCTTTAACACTTTGCAATTTCTTACTTGTTAAAGTTCTCTTTCTATATTATCTGTATGTCTTCTTTCAACTTTTGATCTTTTAAAAAGGACAGGCTCTTGCAATCCTCAATAATGTTGAGCATAATAGTTTTCTGAAACCGGCATCTTTCTCTTGAACCATGCAGATGTTTCTGGTAATATTGCAGCTCTTTCATGTGACATAACCGGCCCTTATAATGTAGCAAAGTAATGTATATGACCGATTGTAGGCCTGAGAATATAAACCGAACATTAAAGATTAACAATCTGCAGCGGAGAAGTGCAGCAAAGTTACCACCCTGGGGGAAGGGACCCATTCCTACATAAGCCCTAGTAAAAAAGAACCAGAATATTTGAAGACAAAGATAGGAATTTGCATATTGATAGAGCAGCCTCACTACAAACTTTCTATCAAGTGCTAAGCACACAATGAACAAAACCCAACAATAATATATATGTCATAAATGGACCAGAAGTCTGTCCACCTTTTATAAACATTTATATAAATTGTCCTCCAAGGACAGTTTGTATTTCATATTCAGAACATTGTTTTCTTGATCTAAGTGCTAAAATGATAACATTTATTATTGCATAATTTTCTATTTGCACAAAAGTTGTGTTTTTGATGGGCCTACATTCAAATGGCTAAGGAATTAAGCAAACATCTCATACACCCTGCAATTACCTCCTATCGTAAAATCTGACAGACACACACTTAGCAATATGTGCAAGCAATGAAAACGTTTTTTTTTATTAGGGATGCACCGATATATCGGCCGCCGAAACATATCGGCCAAAAATTGAACTTTTGGCATAATGCCGAAAGTGCCATTTTCTGACCGATACAGTGGTGCATCCGTTCTTTCACTCCTTAGACCCCTGATATTTCCCTGAAACCCCTAAAAGTAAAGTAAAACATAAAAATATTTAATAAAAAAATGAATAAATAAATAAAAATAAATATAAAAAATTAAAAAGTTGATAAAAAATAAATACAAATAAAATCAATTTTTTAAAAAACAAAGTTAAAATAAAAAACTTTTTCGGTTTCGGGCTGACATTTTATTTTATTATGGTTTCGCCTTGGTTTGGAAATTTTCATTTTGGTGCATCTCTAGTTTTTATCTTTTATCTCAGCCTATCCAGCCCAGCCAATGATAAATCAGCACTTTAATGACAGGTAATTACTAAAATAATGGTTTTCATACCGCATCAAACAAGGTCTTCAGGAAACTGAGCTCATCCACCAAGGCATCTTGCTTGCCATCCAGATCAGTCTTTTGCATGTATAGGCAATCAACATCCTAAAAGAAAGTATAAAAGCATATAAAAGTCATGTAAAAAGAATGTTCCTATACTAAATATCTAAATGTTGTTAATTTATATATCACGTAAAACCACTGAAATGGGAAGAACAATATGCAGATATCAATGTATGATTCTATAAAACACTATACTAACTGACTCGAAATCTGAAAACCTATTGCCATGGTCTCTTAAAAGAAGATTGTGCAGAAAGAACATGAAACCTAGGACAATACCTGGAGTTAGATGTTCTCACTTCACTCTTTAGACTTTTTAACTTACATGCTTTATCCAAGTTATTTGTTTAGAACGGCATTCATGACCCGGGAATTAGCATTCACATAAAGAGGTCAACAATAGCAGCCTCCATTGATCTCTCAGTAGAGGTTTACTTTAGAGCAACTCTGTGTTTGCTCATGTAGGGCAAAGCTCATTTAGGGTTAGAAAGAGTGAAACATTTTTAAAAATATTATTATTGGCGTCTCTGCCTTCCTGTCCTAGTGACAACCTCACATTACCATTTCTTGTATAGATATCACAGGTACAAGAAATTTGTTAAAATCTCTCCAATAGATTCATAGACAGAAATACATATTTGCCAGCAATGTTAACTCTTCTCTACTCTATCGATAAATATATAAATAAAAACTCGGGCTGGGGTTGTGCTTTGAATGTCATTTATAAACACCCACAAAACAATCATTTAGATTCAGTTTGTGAATGACATTTTTTTGGAAATAGCTTTAAATGCACTACCTATTCTTTATATTCAACCAAATCCATCCCTGATGCAAATACAGTTTTTAATATATTTTAAGAAAACAACTCCAGGCAGATATAAAGGACACACATTAATGCAGCCCTTATTTACCAATACATCATTATTGTTTTTTTAAATGGAAGCAGTATAAGTATGAGGAGATTGCTAGATATTTTGTATTAGTCTCTTGCAATCCCCTGAACAGCAGAGCTCAGATTGGGGGAGGGAGAAGAAGCACAAGTAGCCAATCAGGTGTGCTGCAGTGCTTATGTGCTAAAAATTGACATACTGTAAGGAGGAGAGGGTAGTGCAACAGAGAGACAAGCTTGTCTGCTGCATCTTCTTTTACTGTCCATTCAGATGCTAGAGAGGGAAAAGATCTGAAAGAGGAACTTAACTGCAGCAGAGAAAAAACAAGTCTCTACTGGAAGGACACAAATACAAATCCTATGACAGGTGACATATCTCATAAAAAAGAATATCATCTATGTATTTAGCAAAAAATAAAATAAAATCATTCCAGCTGCACATCAGGAAGGATTGCAAACAATTGCTGTATTCTTAAATATTACACTTTATAATGTAAAACACAATCATAGTGAACACAATATTGGGAAGACTTTTTTATATCACCGTAATGGTATAGAAAATACCTCCTATTTATGTCATCATTACGGTAAGTATTACATCATATTTTAGCAGGATGTAGACCTAATGCATGTTTTACCATGTATCAGCGCCAACACACGGTAATGCACAGTGGGTGGTGTGTTGCATTACAGAAATGTTATAACATTCTGAAATAAGCTAGAGCTGTGGAAAGGTGGTTAGTTAACCAATCTGAAAATATCAAATTAAGAAAATGTTTCCCTTTACAACAGCTCCATAAAATAAACATAAATGTATTATTGATGTCAGGCACATTTCTATTTAGACAAATTGTTCTTAGAATTTTAATGATTATCAAAGTTTTATACTTCTTAACAATTTCTCAAACTTCACATTTAGAATTAATCCAGAATTGCTGCGTACAAAATAGGATTTCATTTAAAAAAAATAATATCCAGCTGGAAAGATTACAGGTGGGAAAGTTTCACAGTAAATATCTGATCCTAATAATAATAAAAGATACAAGGACAACACACTACATTACATTAAAGTTCAGTCTAAAGTATACCTTTTTCAAAGATACAAATTCATTTTCAGCATTGGCACGCTTGTTAATCTCTTCTTCATATCTGTAAACAAAGGTAAACATAAAATCTGTGTAACCACCAAATTGAACTAATTCACACATACAAGATTATAGATATCTCAGAACATATTTTAATATAATCCTGATAATTATGCCAATAGTGTATTTATTGCAGTCGAATCAATGCTGGAAAGCTGACATGATGATTAAAATTAGGGATGCACCGACATATCGGCCACCGAAACATATCGGCCGAAAATTGCACTTTTGGCTAAATGCCGAAAGTGCCATTTTTCTGCCAATACAGCGACGCATCCCTGCTTTCTTTCCTTCTTGCTGGGCGCTGCTCTGTGTCCCAGTGGGGAGGAGAGAAAGTGTCACAGGCAGCCGAGCTTTGCGGGAGGAGAGCGCTGTGAGCGGCCGGCGTCTCTCTTCCTCCTCCTGCCACAGTCCGGCAGAGCGGTGAGTGGGCGGAGACAGCAGGCTCTGTCACAGGAGGCTGAGCTCTCCCCCCTGCACCACCTTGCTCAGCCTCCTGTGACAGCTGTCAGAAAGGAGAGCCAATGCAAACACTCAGCAAACAGTGATCGCTGAGTGTTTGTAAATAATTGAGGACATAGTATGGTTACTATATCCTCAATTATGAATGAATGGGATGTGATCTACATCACCTCCTCATCACCTCCTGTTCATTTCGGATTGTGGATATAGTAAACATACTCTGTCCTCAAGTTATTAATGAACAGGAACACTCAGTATAGAGGATTAGACATGTGCGATTCGGTTCGTTCCGAAATTCGTTTCTGACAAATTTTCGGAAATTGGGAGATTCGGATGCATCCGAATTCCGAATTACAGCTAAGACGAATGCAAACGAATCCAAAATTCGTTATTGGACGAATTTCGTTGCAGAAAAATGACACTAGGAAGACACACATCTATGCTTAAAGTACAGAGGCTATATAGTAGTGGATAGAGGTACAGACTTGCCATTGCCGTTCCATTGCCATTGCTGTTCCAGGTTCAAATCCTGGGCAAGTCAAGTTTAAAGTTTGATTTTTTTTTCCTTTGCTTTTGAATTGGAATTCTCCTAACATTCCTACCAGACCTAAAGGGTCTGGTATGAATTGGGGGGAACCTCAGGCTTTTTTTTTTTTCATCTTCTTTTTTTCATCTTCTGCAGAAAGTAATTTTTGTTCCCCCTAATGTCATTTTGACGCGAAATTAGTTATTGGACGAATTCTGTTGCATCAAAATGATTTTTTTTTTTTACAGTCTGCAGAAGATGAAAAAAAAAAAGCGTGAGGTTTCCCCCCAATTCATAACAGACCCTTTAGGTCTGGTAGGAATGTTAGGAGTATCAAATGCTTCTCTGCTTAAAGTACAGAGGCTATAGAGTGGTGGATAGAGGTACAGGCTTGCCATTGTGAAGTTTGCTGGTTCAAATCCAGCCATGGGAGAGTAAAGTTTTTGTTTTTTTTCATAAACGAATTTTGGCAGGACTACCGCTAATGAATTTCGTCCGAATTTAATTTCGGACCCGAAAAACGAAACTAAACTAAACGATTTTTTTTTTTTTTAAATGAAACTAAACGAAACAAATTTTTTGCTGGTGCACATGTCTATAGAGGATTCGTGTTCATTGATAACAGGGGCAGAAAAAGAGATGGAGGACTCTGTGTCCTCCATCCCTTTTTCTATTTTAAAAGGGAAATATCTGGGGTCTGTTTAGACCTCTAATATTTCCCAGAAGCCCCTAAAAGTAAAGTAAAAAATAAAAATATTTAATAAAAATGAATACAT